GGGTGTGTATGTATCCCTATATTTGTGAGTTTTTAGTTTAATTTATTCTACGTTTCTGATCAGTACTGGTGTCTGATATAATATTTCCTCAACACTACTCCAGTTACACTCCTCACATCAACCCTCCAATCGACAAGTTAGGGCTGCCACTTTCTTTTATTTTTCACTGACTTAATTCGGGCTAAATTTAAGTTTCGCCCTTTCTCGCCTATGGAATAATTTGTTTAAAATTGACATAATTGAAGTTAACATGTATTCTTTGAAAAACTGAGCATACAAGTAATTAGATATTTTAAAAAGAATATTTATAAAATTAAATCAAGAAATACAATGCCTATTAAGTATGTCACCAGCTCAGATACTGTTCAGATCTACGTAGCCCGACTAGACACAATAATTTTATTTTATTCTTTTTTTAATGATTTTCTTTTTTCTTTCTTTCTCCATTTCTTCTTTATTATGAACAATATCAACGAAATATATTTCGGTCAATATTTTGAGTTAAAACAGTTAATTTTAGATCAAACTGAAGTCAAGAATGAAAATGATACACTATGAAACATCTCATGCTTTGGAATAGTTATACTTGAATGCAATCACCACTGATATATATATATATATATATATATATATATTGGCACAAATTAGTTCTCTTTATAATTATATTACTGCTTTTAGTCCATTTAATAATAAATAACGTCATTTCTTTACGTTAAGGTACGCTTCGAGCAGATATGAACGTAGCTAAATAGTATAGCACGTCAGGCTATATGACGATTCCGTGTAGGATACGGGTTCAATTTCTATCGAGGGATGCATATATTTTATGAAAATTTCTCGGACAGTCAGGCTGGTAAATGTTAATAATAAGCAGACCATTTATTGAAATATTTGTGTCGATATAAATAATGTATAACAATAAAATATGTCTGTCTATATTTCTGAGATGAGGTATTATGTACACTATTTACATTATTCGGACTACTGTCCTCATCTATGTCGCCATATTTATTACAACCTTTCGGCCCTTGTACGCTCCGACCTTCTTTTGGTGGTTGCAATGTCGAACTGAACCCTTTATTTCGCTCACTGGGGTAGACTGTTCTAGTTCCACGTGACATGTCGAATGGATGTCAGTTATCAGTTATCTCCTGTTAATTCCCCTTTGGATCCCGTCACTGGATCTAACTAACGCCTTTATCCACTGTGATAATTGATGACTGACGTCGACTAAAACAGTAAAACTGTGAATAAGTTAAAAAAAAAAAAGCGGGAACAGTAGAAAGAAAAAAATGGACCAGGAGGTCACAACAGCAAGAGGGACCATCTTTTCAACTTAGAGTTAAATACGTTCTTCTTGTTCAAAGTAGAGTCCAATAGTGTTATAAAAATCACGGAGAATTCCAGTAAGGTATATTTAATCATTTCTAATATACAACGGTTGAGAACTTAATCTAACAATTGGACAATTTTGCTGTTACACGATTTTGACAATTTTGCTATTAAACCCAGCACACACACACACACACACACACACACACACACACACACATATATATATATATATATATATATATATATATATATATATATAAATATAAATTGAAACGTCATGAGAGAACAACATAAAAAATGTAATGGCAGCCAACAACCATTGACGTCATGGGAATACAAAGAACTATATTAATTGTGGTCTGAGATCTGATGCGTCCGTGAATTTGGGTTAATTTGTCGGTGGCAAGGCTACTTCAGCTATCGTATTTTGAATTCGAAATTTCAACCCGAAAACGGCTGATGAAATCGTTTTTCATCATTTTACGCCTAAAACAAGGTAATGGCCGGTGTTTCAGCGTTATGCGGTCGTAAGAGAGGCGGGCTGATATCACATTGCAGTTTAGCGCACATTTCTTTGTTTCTAACGAAAGCTTCTTCATACTTAGCGTTTATCGGAAAATATCTTTCGCTATTCCAAAACGCCGTCAGATATCTGCGGCTTATTTTCCGTCGTCTTTTAATACATTTCCCAGATGGTTAACTCTCTGGTCTTAATTTTGCCGTCTTAAGTTCGTTGTCCACGGCATCGGCGATCCATCTTGCTAATGGCCATGCATTCTGTCTTCGTACATTTTGTTGCTTAATATCGTTTTACTCATCCTTTCCCTACGACCAAAACGGCTGAAAGGAAAATGAATTTCAAATACGCTTGGCTTTCAGAGAGAGTTTTATACCGGTGCATCAGAATTATATATACATATTTACATTTGTCCTACCCAGAGAAAATATAACACATATATGCAACAACAAGCAGGTTGAAAAATAGAACGGAAAGAGAGGCTTACGTATAATAATTCTCAACCGGAACTGGAGCTGACGGAGATTCTACTGTGTTTCTGGAGAAGATAAATTTAGTTTCGAGCGGGTCGAATTTTTCTGCTATATCGCTATCGAGGGCATATTCCGCAAAAGGGAAAACGGCGAGTCATGGGCTTTCCCCAATATG